GTGATGCAAATTGGGTTGAGCTCTATAGCATTACTGGCGAGCTGAAGGTCCCAGCATCCGACGATGACGCGCCGCTAAAGGAAGTGCTAACCCGAATTCGAGAGGTGAGTTACCCAAGTACAATGGGAGTTATCGCGAGGATGTGATCATTCCGTAGATCCTAGAAAAGGGTAGGCCTGAGGCGGCGATGAGCTCTCCCTGGCGAGAGATCCGTATCCAGGTTGACGTACCACTTATGGACGCAAGTTTTCATCATCACTTTCGGGTCCAATCACGTTCTCATCCGCGTTGTAATACCGCAGATACTTGCTTCAGTGCGATTCCGCATTCTAGCAACGCCTTCCTCAGGGGAGTCGACGCCAATACATCCATCGCCTCCGTTATATGCTGGACAGCCTGTTTCAACTTTGTTAACCATTCAGACCTCCTTCCACTGGGGCATAAAACAAGACTCCAGTCGCAAATCATATCAGATGCGGTTCGACGTTGAAGAGATGGTGCGAGACTGGCTCATAGGTGGGCGAAAACGCGGAGACTTTGAAGCAACTGTAGGTCTGCATCGATATGATTAGCTTTTTGCGGCTGAATCAGCCCAGGATGGGTCAACCTTGACGATTCCGATGACACTGATTGCTCTCCACCACGGCGAGTTATCCTTGCCAAAAGTGATGGTTCACTACAAGCCTCTGGAAGGGCAGATGACTATGGGATCATCGTCGCTTCCGAACATTGAGACCCATCAGGTACATGGAGCTGAGAAGGTGCTTATACTTCCCAGAGGTGGCCGGAGTACATTCATTGTCGGGATGGGCGAGCAGGGCGAGTAGTCGAGGTAGACAGATTACATAATTCAATTATGCCTTCAGCGGAGCCAGAGCAATCAACTTCATCCCAAAAGCAAAAGCCGTCATTCGGCTCACTCGGGCTCATACAGCCTCTTCTAGAGGCAATCGAACGGCTTGATTACAAAACCCCAACAGACATTCAGCTTGAGGCACTTCCCCCTGCTCTTGAGGGACGAGACATAATCGGTGTAGCCTCCACCGGCTCCGGAAAGACCGCAGCTTTCGCGCTACCTATCCTCCAGAAGCTATGGGATGAACCAAATGGTCTTTTTGCGTGCGTTCTTGCACCGACGCGCGAGTTGGCCTACCAGATTTCACAGCAATTTGAAGCGCTCGGTTCGGCTATGGGTGTACGCTGCACGGTCCTCGTCGGTGGAATGGACATGGTAACGCAGTCGATCGCGCTGGCTAAGAAGCCGCATATCATTGTGGCGACTCCTGGGCGATTGAAGGATCACTTGGAGAACACAAAGGGATTCAGTCTGCGTGGTCTCAGGTTTCTGGTGAGTAAATTCTATGCTACCATTTCTTTCCTTTCGCCATGCGTTCGTTGCACGCGTTCCATCATCTCAAGTTGCCTTATTGCCCCACAGGTCCTAGACGAGGCGGATCGTTTGTTGGATATGGACTTTGGGCTCGATATCGACGCTATTCTTAGGGCCATCCCGAAGGAGCGAACCACATACTTGTATTCGGCGACGATGACGACAAAAGTCGCTAAACTCCAACGTGCAAGCTTGTCAAATCCTGTCCGAGTGGAAGTCTCGACAAAGTAAATGGGTTTCTCGACCGTTTGGTGCCCTTCGGAAGTCTGACTTTTCGTCGTTGCGCAGGTATTCCACGGTGTCCACTTTACTGCAGTACTACCTTTTCATACCACTATCACAAAAGGACGTTCATCTCGTCTACCTTGCAAATTCCTTAGCGCAAAACTCTATAATGGTTTTTACACGGACCGTTCATGATGCACAACGGTATGTCTTGTCATTTCTCCAATAGAACATGCGAAATACAAGCTTCGAACAGGCTCTCAATTGTACTGCGTAACCTGAACTTCGCCGCAATCCCTCTTCATGGACAACTGAGTCAAAGTCAGCGCCTCGGCTCTCTAAGTAAATTTCAGAGCGGATCAAGAAATATTCTGGTAGCTACAGACGTGGCTAGCCGGTAGGTCCCCGTATATGCGGAAGTAAGAGTTACTGATAGAGGCGGAACTTTTCCAGTGGTCTCGACATTCCGGCGGTCGACATCGTCATCAACTTTGATATCCCGACACATTCTAAAGATTATATCCACCGGGTTGGCCGCACAGCCCGCGCTGGGCGTGCGGGGAAATCCATAACACTCGTCACGCAATATGACGTTGAATTAATCCAACGCATTGAAGCCGTGATCAACAAAAAGATGGACCTTTGGCCCACCGACAAGGAAGAGATAGCTTTGTTGCGTGAAAGGGTAGACGAGGCTGGACGACTGGCAGCCACGGAACTCAGGGAAGAAGGTGGAATGAAGGGACATCGGAAGCGGAGAAAGGGTGAGGGTGAGGATAAGGACGTGAGAGATCGGGATGACGACGTAGTCCAGGCAGGAATGCCAACGAAGAAAAAGAAGAGCAGAAGGTAGCATTTCTATGGTCTCTCCTGTGGTCTCATTTACTCCCCGTACTGTATCGGCCGTATTCTAATCCAAAAACATGATGTCGGAGCGGAGGACGTATTTTATACCATTCCGGACCTGAGAGCCCTCGTGGAGGAGACAGTCGTTGCCATGTCTAGGAGAAGATTTTAGCATTTTCCGTGCACCGCGGCAAGCGTATCTGTCTACGCTGACCTATGAAGAAGGGCTGTCCCCCGTGTTAGCGGTGCCACCATGGATTCCGAAGCTTTCGCTTTGCTGTTGGGATAGAAAACGGTCTGCGATAATTGAGTAAAGGTTCTTGACGGATCCCATCATACGTACCTCCCCGCCTTGCACACCATCCTCGACACCAGTAAGGTATATGAGTAGTGTCCACTCCGAGACTGTACCAGTCTTCACATCGCGTACGGAATCGTCATAGTGAGGGTTAAAATGCTGCGACGGTGTGTACTTGTACAAACGAATGTTTGAGTTCAGTGAATGGGCCGCCCTAGCATTCGAATCTGGCCGTTTCATCGAGGCAGGATACGGAAACGATGGTAAGTGGGGGCGCAGCACGGTCCATAGTCGATCTGCAAACTCAGGTGAAGAAATGGAGACCCTGTCTTGGACGACGCTAAGCTCGGGCGTTTACTGTCAAACGAGAAACATGCTTACAATTGACTCTAACTGCCTCCCCACGTTTTTTTGATGGAGTCAGTTCCAGGGGTTGGGAGTCAATAAAGTCGACAAAAGATCGGCATTCTGCTGGAGTCAGCACGTTCTGCGGCGCTGTTTCGGTGACTAGAAAAATAAGATGACAATTAAAGGTGCACGCTTAGCAGTAAAATCTGATCCTCCAGGAATGTATGGCATCGAATGTGACTCTTCTCTGATAATCTGGGGAAGGGGGTCGCTTTGGGAGCGGGACTCGGAGGCTGGGCAGCGCGTCCCTTGTTGCTCGCCGCTTTCCTTACCATCGCGGTTGCCAAGTTAATTCAATTTCATCTTGAACCCGGACCTTGCTCGAGTCAACTAACTCAACGATGGCAACCTCACGGGTCATCAACTTTGGAGCAGGTCCCTCTGCCCTTCCTCAGCCCGTACTCAAGAAAGCAGCTCAGGGATTACTCAACTTCAATGACACAGGCATCGGCATCGCCGAGCTCTCACATCGCTCCAAGGAATTCGGCGCGTTTATCCAAAACGCCGAAAATCTCATCAGGTACCCAGTTGGAAGTCCCTCCAACGCACTCTATCCTTTTCACGCAGGGCGGCGGGACCGCTCAATTCTCCGCCGTCGTGTTGAACCTCCTTGCGCGCCATAGGCTCCTCTATCCGGATCTCGCTGAGGATGAGCGCGTCATGGACTACGTCCTCACGGGCTCATGGAGCAGAAAAGCCTTCGATGAGGCCAGACGCCTTGGCGGTGCTCGTGCAAGACTCGTAGTCGATTCACGCAAGTACTCCAAGGATAACGTCTCATTCGACAACATACCGCTGCACGGCGAGTATTCCTTCTCCCGCGCGCCTGCGCTCATCTACTACTGCGAGAACGAGACGATCGATGGCGTCCAGTTCTCGCCGAATCCCGATGCGCCAACGTCCTTCCCCTTCAAACTCCTGCCGCGTGAGCCCAACGGCCTCCTCCCGCTCGTCGGTGACCACTCGTCCTCGTTCATGTCCCGCCCGATCCCGCATCTTAGCGAACATGCCGTCATCTTTGCCGGCGCGCAGAAAAACGTCGGTCCCGCAGGCTTGACGATCCTCATCGTCCGACAAGATTGTCTCGTCGACGTCGACGCAGCTGCCAAACTCGGCGCGATACCCGTTCCGTTATGTCTGTCCTACACGACGCTCGCGCAGAGCAAGAGCCTGCACAACACCCCGTCGATGCTCTCCATCTACATCACCGGGCTCGTCCTCGAGTATATGAAGGAACTGGGTGGCATCGCGCACTTCGAGGCGGTCAACAGAAGAAAGGCGGAAAAGGTATACGCCGCTATTCGGGCGGGCGAGGAGCGCGGGGTGTTCCAAGGCAGGGTGCAATCAGGATCAGGTAGCTGGATGAATGTCGTCTTCAATGTCCTAGGGGAAGGAGCAGAGGCACGCTTCCTTGCGGGCGCAGAAAAGGCGTGTATGAAAGGCTTAAAGGGTCACCGGTGAGTCGTTCTCTTGCATACATCATACCTTCGCAGACCTTTTGACATTTCACATGGCTGTATCGATGGCAATAGGTCGGTTGGAGGTATGTACATACCACTCTCGCGTAACCTGAGCGACCCTCATCGAATTTCATTGCGTTAACAGGTGTCCGTGTATCCCTCTACAATGCCATCACGGAAGCAAGCGCAGACACTCTCATTCAGTTCATGGAGAAATTTGTTTCCGAAGCGGGTTCTCAGGCTTCGGCGTAAATATTGTGTCTGGCGTATAATAGTTGGCTGGAAAAAAAAACAATGAGTCACCTTGGGCTTGGACGAGACGAGGGTTCTCAGATCATTGTTCTTAGATGCTACGGATGTAAACCATAATACATGCCCCATGGCTGAGTTGGTTACAGCGTCCGACTGTTATCCCGCATTGGGAAAGCTCATCGGAAGGTCGTGAGTTCGAGCCTCACTGGGGCAGTTATTTTTTTTTTGAAATTCAATTCTCTTTCCTGTATATCAGTTGTAAAAAAAATCGTGCAGAGGAGCCAGAGTCGAATACGTCAAAACTCATGAACTCTTGCTCTTGAGAAAGTGTCCCCATCTCCCTAACGTACGAAATAAAATAATGGACGTCATAATGAATCATTCTCATAATGACGACTGCCGACGCTATGCATTACTCGAGTATGACATATCAAAACCGTTGATCACAATACTGTATTGCACACTGTATAGGAACAACTTGTACAGGAAGACGTGAAGGCAGAGAATATCGTTGATACATGTACACGTTATAAGGAATCTGTTGATGAGGGGGGAGGGGGAGAAAACTTGAAACATCATAGATAGATGCATTGAGGAAGAAAGTGTGATGACGTGGTGCAGAACCCGATCGGCTCACAATACACAAATGTAATATCAATGTCACAGACTGAACGTACAAACGACGAACGGTTAAGGTGAATGGACGTCGTACGATCAAGTACGGGCAATTTGAACGGTCGAAGAAAAAAATTGTGAGATAAGAATGAATGAAATGTGAAAAGATGGTGAAATATATATGCGATTGAATACGGTCACAGTTGATGATGCTGACTTGCAGGAATAAGGCACGGGTGAATCCGGATTGTATGGGATGATGGGAGCGTCCGTTGATGAAAAAGGGAATGGTGACATGATGAAAGGGGTGACGATTAAAAGGACTTTCTAAGTGGGGAAAACGGAATGGGACAACGCTATACATTTCACCACGTTGCTTCCTGAGCAGGTGTCATAATTGGCATTAGACCAACGAATTGAACTCGTGACGGCGACGGGAACCGCGGTGGGGGCGTCGATGTTACACTCGGCGGTCGTGAGACGAGTGGCACAAGAGGCTCTGTCCGATCTCTTGAGGAGATAGACTTGCGCCGGCGGACCGGGCCAAGACCGGAAACACGCATATATTCTGCAGATGCAAGTGCTGAGAGATCGGAGTCCCAGGGGTTTCCTGCCGTAAGCACGGGGTCGTCCAGAGCGGAAATCCATGGAAGCGAATCGAAGTTAATCACACGGGGCGCAATGATAGCTTCTGGGCGTATATTGTGCCGCCGACGGCGGGGGGTACGTGGAGCGCAAACCACTTGTCGTTTAATAGAGCTACAAGGTGTCGGAGACTGCGATGCCTTAAAAAAGATAAGAGCGAAATCAACGGAAGTTTCTAATCGTCCGGATGAAAGAAAAACAAACCAGAGAGCGTTTGGTACGATGATGAATACGGATTGGAGACATGAGGCGAGGAAGCTGAGCATTCTTGGGGGCAGGTGTGTGGCACTTGCGTCAGAAAGATATGAGTCCTCTGATAAGGTAAGCAGAGACAACACGAAACGCTCACGATGAACGGATCGTCAAGGTTGATGGGCAACACCGGCGCCGATGTGTCAATAATCGTCGGTTGCGGGAGTAAACGGCGAGGCTGGGGGGCGATAATGGGGATCGGGGACATTGTGAGATCTTGCTTAGTCGAGATGAATTTGGGCTGGATGACAGCTATCAAACGGGGCTGATGAAGTTGGCGTTTATGAGGGGGCGTACGGGGACGAAAAGAAAGGAGGGACTGGAGTTATATGGAGAGGGAACGGACAATGGGAGAGAGTAAGCTACCGCGTGTCAAAAACGGTGCACGTTGCCCCCGCCTGTTTTGCTGACAAATCATGACAAATTTAGCGAACAATGGCGCCCCTCTGAGCCTCGTTTTACAGCGTCGCCCGAGTAACCCTATTATCTCGCTTTCTTTGGGAAATATATTCCGATGCGAACAATGACTCCCGCAATGACTCCCGTGTCTTTCTTGCGAGGGCACATATCGGATAATTGCCGGCTGGCGTTGCGAATTTGATAGCTTTGACCCGAGGACGAAACATGAGGACGAAACACGAGGATCGCACGCAGACTCATCTATCAACATGAGTCGATGGGATCACGTTCGTGGCAAGTGAAGACGTGTCGGGTATCCTTCTATCCATACGTGGGGAGATGAACGAGTACCATTGATGAGAGGAAGTAGAGGGGACCTTAGTCATGTCGTTCGGTACGGCGACTACCTTCAGCGGCTCTCGGTTGACACCGCCCTCTCAACGCTAATGACTACGGCATCGGGAGAAAGACTGTGCCTCGCGTCATGCATTATGCATTATCATATTCTACTACTGGGTTGTTTAAGGCTGTGAGCGTGGCACCCATCATATTACAGCAAGTACAACCGTTCAAGACGTCACTCAGGTGGCCAGAAATGGACGACCAGGAAAGAAAAATGCACTTTTGTGGGATAGCTATATGATGATGCAGTAGACACATTATGGGGGAAAATGAACGTGGGAGCGTAATACACAGGAACTAAACGATTTTTACTACAGAGCCCTTTGCATAAAGCCAAGTCCGTGCAGTAGTTCTAGTCGATCTCCTCCATTGCGGACGTAGAGGCGGCTTCTGTCTCCGCAGGGGCGGCCTCCTCGGCGGCGGGCGCTGCCTCCTCTTCCTCGTCAACATCAAGACCAAGTCTAGAATTGGTCACGGAAGTTTTTAGTCATAATTGGGGGGCAGTAAAGACAAATCACTTACGAGATCATGCGGTGGATCCGCTTTGCAAATGATGTCGGCTCCTCAAGCGAGAAGCCAGAAGTGAGGAGAGCAGTCTCGAACAAGAGATACGTCAAATCCCGGACCGACTTGTCAGCCTTGTCTTCTGAGACCTTCCGTCGGAGCTCCTTAACTATCGGGTGTTTAGGGTTGAGCTCAAGGGTCTTCTTTGAGGCCATGTAAGACGACATCGAGGTGTCACGAAGGGCCTGAGCCTTCATAATTCGCTCCTAAAGACAGCGCAGGTTATCAGTTTCTGGTCTTCGGATCCGCGGTCCGAGGGAAAACCCACCATATTCGATGACCAACCAAACTGGCCAGTGACCAAAACGCAAGGCGAGTCGGAGATACGGTTCGATACAACGACCTTCTCAACCTTCTCACCAAGCGCATCCTTGATAACTTTGCACAAATCCTCGTAGGACTTGGCTTCTTCTTCGTGCGCCTTTTTCTCCTCGTCTGTCTCCTCGAGCTCAAGACCTTCCTTCGAGACAGACTCAAGCTTGTGGCCATCAAACTCCTTCAACTGGGACATCGCATACTCGTCGATGGGATCCACGAGCAGGAGAACCTCGAACCCTTTTTTCCTGAGGACCTCCAAGAAAGGCGAGTCCCTGATGGCGGCTAGGGATTCACCCGTGAGGTAGTAAATTGCCTTTTGTCCCGAAGGCATGCGTGTGATATAGTCTGGAGATTCATAATTAACAAAAGGAGGGTGCATGTGGGATGGGATACAAACCCTTGAGGGTAATCTGGTCATCGACGGCCTTCGTCGAATGGAAACGCAGGAACTCAGCAAGTTTGCTGCGGTTCTGAGCATCCTCATGGATACCAAGCTTGATGTTTTTGCCGAAGGCCTCATAGAACTTCTGGAAGTTGTCTTTGTCTTCAGCGATCTCCGAGAACAGATCCATGCACTTCTTGACGATATGCTTGCGGATGACTTTGAGGATCTTGTTCTGCTGAAGGGTCTCACGCGAAATGTTGAGAGGCAAGTCTTCCGAATCGACAATACCCTTGACGAAGTTGAGGTACTCCGGGATGAGGTCCTCGCAGTCATCCATGATGAAGACACGGCGGACGTAGAGTTTGATATTGTTGCGCTTTTTCTTGCTCTCAAACAGATCGAAGGGTGCACTAGGATTAGGTCAGGAATGACGAGTATGTAAAGTAATGATGGTGACATACCGCTTTGGGACATAAAGGATAGCCTTGAACTCAAGCTGACCCTCGACGGAGAAGTGCCTGACTGCAAGATGTTCCTCCCAGTCGTTGGTAAGGGACTTGTAGAAGGCCCCATACTCTTCTTGCGTAATGTCGTTCGGGTTACGCGTCCAGATAGGCTTCGTCTTGTTGAGCTCCTCGTTGACCTTGCTCTGCTCCTTGACCTTCTTTTTCTTCTTCTCCTTAACTTCTTCGTCCTCGACCTCCTCAACCTTGGCCTTTCCTTCTTCGTCCTCCCCCTCTTTGGCCTCCCCCTCTTTGACCTCTTCTTCGTCATCTTCGACCTCCTGCGACACGTGATCAGGGACGACTGATATGCGGGACTAAGGACACAAACCTTTTCGACTTCCTTGGTGACGACAAGTTGGATAGGATAGGAGATGAACTCAGAGTGCTTCTTAACGACATCCTTGATCCGCTTCTCTTCAAGATATTCCGCCTGGTCTTCCTTTAGGTATAGGCGAACCTCAGTACCGCGGCCGAGCGGTGGGTTCACGGTGTCAAGGGTAATGGTGAAAGTGCCACCCGCGGCAGACTCCCAGATGTACTGCTCATCATCATTGTGTTTTGAGATGACTTGAACACGCTCAGCCACGAGGTAAGCGGAATAGAAGCCGACACCGAACTGGCCAATCATGGAGATATCGGCACCAGAGCTAAGCGCTTCCATAAACCCCTAGGACGAGACATCAGAATGACAAGCCAGACGTGGATAATTGGTTCAAAAATATACCTTCGTCCCGGACTTGGCAATGGTACCAAGGTTATTGACCATATCAGCCTTGGTCATGCCGATGCCGCTATCGCGAAGGGAGAGGATATTATTTTCTTTGTCTGGGGTTATGCGAATGAAGAGCTCCTTCTCGGACTCGAGAACCGAGGGTTCAGTGAGGGAGGCGTAGCGAATCTTGTCAAGAGCATCAGAACCATTGGAGATGAGTTCACGGAGAAAAATTTCTTTGTTGGAGTAGAAAGTGTCTGAAGAATGGTTAAGGCGGGTTAGGCGTCGCGTCGATAATCACGCAAAGATAACATGACTTACTGATGATCAAGTCGAGCAACTGAGAGATCTCAGCCTGGAAGCCGAAGCTTTCTGGTTCGGGTGCAGACATTTTTTTGGATGCGCAAGGTGGGAGA